GGGAGGTGGGTCGCCACTCTTCCTCAAGCAAGCCTGTGTGTGTGTGTGTGTGTGTGTGTGTGTGTGTGTGTGTGTGTGTGTGAGGCTGCAATCCATGCTAAACTGATTTTGCCATGGCCGCGCCAGGGAGGCTAACAAAATTACTGCTGGCTAATGGCCCCACTGATTTGGGGGGGTGGGGGACGACATCATGGGCAGCTTTGTGGAGGTCTCTCATCTTGCTCTGTTTTCTCTCTCCTTTCTGCTTTTTTTCAAACAAATGTCTCCGACCTCTTTCTCATCCCTGCTCTAACACTCTTTTATCATAGTTTCTGGGATACCTGCCACCCTCAGGTCAGTTCTGTGAAGCTTAGATTACCAACAAAGGCAACAAATGCAAATGACAGAAATAATAGCATCCCTTTCTTTCTCCCTCTCTCTGTCTGCACCATCTAGCCATCAGGAGGAAGGAAAATGGCTGGTACGATGAAGAGCATCCTCTTGTATTCCTCTTCCTTGGCTCATCAGGAATCGGTAAATCACTCTCATTTTTCACACCACTTTCTTTTTTGATGTGATCTCATGAATTGATGGTAAAAAAAAATTGTCCCCAGTTTCCTCAAAGTCACTGCCAAAATAAACAGAACACTGGAGTAAGTAAAGCTTCTGAAGTGCATTGAATGGACACAGAGTATATTTTCTTGTGCCAAGCTATTAAACTCAAAAGAAGCCGAATACACAAGGCTACAAAAATACATCACATTTGTAAAACTGGATAACCTCTACATAGTATTTGGTAAATTAGTTTCATAATTTGTGAATTAAAATAAGATTTAGACTTGCATTTTTGACAGTTTATCGACTTGATTAATTGCAGGATTTTTGACTTTAAGATAATAACAGGCTGCACTGATCAAATCAAGACAAAACACTAAGGCATTTAAGAAGCTCTACTGAATACTGTGCCTGCTTGATGGACCTGCTGTGTTATTCCTCCAGCTGGTCATTTAAGAGGCTGGCTAACATTGATGTTTACAAGCTAGCTCACTAATTTAGCTAACTTGTTTGCTATTAGCCGGTTAGCTAACATTACCCTGATATAGTGCAAAAGCATTTGAATTGTCCAGTATTTTGGTTTTTATTTTCTAATATCATATACTGTATGTCATTAACTGTACTTTGTATGTTATATTAATTAGCAACATGCTTAAACACTATACTAAAACAGTGAACATGGTTAGCATAATACCAGTTAACATGTTAGCATTGTCACTGCATACTGATTTTAGCATGTAGCTCAAATCTGCCTAAGTACAGGCAGAGATTAATATGTTTAATTCATATTTATTTAATGGTTGCATGCAGTTTAATGTGATATAGGCAGTTGTTATGAACAGTTGCTATAAATCTTTTCAATGCCACAACTTGTCCTACTGTGGTACAGCTTGCTAGTGTCACCAAATGTGGCCCTGCCAACAAAGGCTCAGTCGGCCCAGTTGTTTCTCAGTCTGATTCCTTCAGGGGATAAGGAAGTTAGTCAATCAGTGGGACATCAGAAAAGCTTAGATGTTCTCATGCAGCAGAAAGAAGAGAAGAGGTTTGTGCGTGTCTGTGTTAGAGTGAAGGCAACAGGAAGACAGAGAGATATTATGGGCCAGATAGATGGCTAAAAAAGAGGGAGATGGTGAAATGACAGGCCAGGGAGATAGATGAAGGAGAGATGGTGTTCATATTCTCTGTTGCCTTCAGCGACGAACAGTGGCCATGAGACACCAGTATTAAACACAACAACAAGACACACACACACACACACATCCAGTCATGATACCCATATGCATACCAAACACAAGACATCAATATCATATATGAGCATTTATATGCAGAATATTTTACCGACAAACATAATACGAGCTCCTGGGTATGATTGAAAGGTTTGTAGGGGGAGGCACTGGGGATTTAGGCCAGTACTTAAAGATGGAGAGAGATCGTCTCTGTTCCTGACTTCCTGAAATCTCTGCATACTGATGTACTCCATAAAAGGGCAGGGATCGGTTTTATATTAAAAACAAAGTAATTAAATAGGGGCAGTGGTTGCTTGAAATGGAACACTTAAATAGCATCTCTGTTTTGTCTGATCGCTTTGATGCCTGGTGCCACAGGAAAGACAGAGCTGGCCAAACAGGTGGCTCGCTACATGCACAAGGACATTAAAAAGGTATGTGATGTAGCGTCTCACACACGCACACCCTTACATACACACCTGTGTTTCAGACAGTAAGTAGAAAACAGGTCTTCTCATAGATGTAGTACAAAGCACAGACAGGTGTTGGTACCCTTCTACTTTTTTCTGAATTAAGTTGAAACTGAGAAATAGATTTAGCTTTTTATACAACATATTGTTTTAAATAGCACAACAAATAAAAATGGCCTGGGCAAATACTGGGACCTTTAACCTAAGAAAACTGGGCACTGAGCATCACCTGATTAATACCATCCCTACAGTCAAACATGGTGGTGGCAGCATCAAGTTGTGGGCATGTTTTTGTGGGACTGGGAGACCAGTCAAGATAGAGTAAAGGATGGAGGCAGGAAAATATAGAGCAATTCTGAATGAGAACCTTGTCCCGAGTCCTCAGGATCTCAGGATGGGGCCAAGGTTTGCATTTCAACAGGACAGTAACCTGAAGCACACTGCCAAGAAAACACAGGAGTGGCTTCAGGAATGTCCCGGAATGACTCAGCCACAGTCCAGACCTGAACCTATCTCTTGTGAGACATGAAAATGGTTGTGGACTGACACTCCCCATCCAACCTGGCTGACCTTGGACAATTCCAAGATCAATGGAAGAACTTTCGAAAAGGTGCCAAGCTTGTAGCTTCATTCCCAAGACAACTTGGGGCTGTCGTTGTTACCAAACAGTGCTTTTAACCAAGTACTAAGTGAAGGGTCTGAGTACTTTATGTAAACGGGATATTACAGTCTTTCCATGCTGACTGTAACTGAGCCGCTTCCAGTTTCTTCCACTTTCATTCAGAAAGCCATGTATGGTGGAACTGGACACTGGTATACCTGGGTGTTTGAGGTCAGCTTGTATCTGATTGGAACTTTTTACACTATTTGAACTGTCCTTAATCTGGGGTCCGTTTTCCTCTCCAGGGAGGTTGGCTTTGGTCATGTGTCTTAAACATCTTAATCACAGGAGCAACAAGCTGCTTGAAGATGTTCTTGTAGGGACAACACAGCATTGTTTCAGTGAGGTGTAAGGGTGCTGACACTTTCAACCAGGTCTATATTAGACATTTAATTTAGTGGGTCTTCCTGCCTTGAAGAACTGACAGAGAATTCAATTTGTGTTGGTTTCCATGGTAACTATTAGTGGCAAATGCTCACTCAGCCCAGTGCAATATAGAAATGCGCCCTGATATGGTACCATGGACACACTATAGGAACTGGATAGCAGACTCAAAGCTGTCATGCCTCTCGGGGAGGTTAATCTCTCATGTGATTGCAGGGCTTCATCCGCATGGACATGTCTGAGTTCCAGGAAAAACACGAGGTAAGATGCTTCAGCACACTGCACAAACGTTACCAGTGTTTCATTGTTTCTAAAGCTTGAGCTACACATACTGTGTTGAGTAAGTCACTGTAACAGAAGTTCATTTATTTCAAATGGGAGCACATCTGTTACACTTGCATCACTCTGCTGCAGATTCATGGCAATGATGCATTGGATTAATTCTGTTTGGTTTCATAATGGATGCATAAACCAAAATTAATGTTGTTTTTGCTCCGTTTTGCCCTTCTCTGTGAAGCTTTGGTGATGAATATGTTTAATCTGTAAATCAGAGTTGCATTTGGTTATGACATTCAAGAACCACGTTTAATCATTTCACCTCTGTATTTTTATATACTGTCAGCTTTTTTGTGAATGTCTGCAGCAAAGAAAAGAAAAAGTACCGCTAAAGTGTGATCCTGGTAAAACACATCTGCCCTGTATATTACATTACTGTGGCCTCCTCTCCCAGGTGGCAAAGTTCATCGGCTCCCCGCCGGGTTATGTGGGACATGAAGAAGGGGGTCAGCTGACCAAGTTGTTGAAGGCGTGTCCCAATGCCGTCGTCCTGTTTGATGAAGTGGATAAGGCCCACCCTGATGTTCTTACCATCATGCTGCAGCTCTTCGATGAGGTGTGTGTACAAACAAGAACACACAGCTACTGTACCTTTGTAAACTTAACATTGACTCTGTGCTTCGGTTTGATAAAACATTTGTAACTCTCTAATTGCTGCCGTTCCTCTCTCAGGGTCGTCTCACAGACGGCAAGGGGAAGACCATCGAATGTAAGGACGCCATCTTCATCATGACGTCCAATGTAGCAAGTGAGGAAATTGCCCAGCATGCATTGCAGCTCCGCAAGGAAGCTGAGGAGGTCAGCCGCAGAAAGCTGTCGGACAACTTCGGTGAGATAAACACCGACATGTTTACATTAAAATGCAAACACAAATGCTGAGGGTGTAGTTTAAAATGCCCGTGATGATTAAATGATGAATGGCTAATTCATTTTGTCATATAACTTAAATTAATAGTCTTAACTGTGACAGGCTTATCACAGTGTCTAGCTAAATCATTGGGATCAGCATTTTATGATTCAGATTTAATGATTTGGCACTGTACTCCTCAGATAACCAGATGTAAAATGAATAAAAAGTGAAAGTAATACTAATGTTGTGCTTTTCCCAGAGGATGTACAGAAAAGTGATGACATCGAAATCTCCCGACAGTTTAAAGAGTCTGTGATTCGACCAATCCTGAAGGTAAATGCCACTTTGTTTACAAATGTTTTATTAAGCTGAAGTTGGCCTCATAGGCCAGGCCTGAAGTTGTCAGTGGTAATTCTTTTGTTCCTCCACAGGCTCATTTCCGGAGAGACGAGTTTCTGGGTCGGATCAATGAAATTGTCTATTTCTTGCCGTTCTGTCACTCCGAGCTGCTGCAGCTGGTCAGTAAAGAGCTCAACTTCTGGGCCAAGAAGGTACGAAACAGGAAAAGCCAGCAGTCTCACAACACCCTACATGTAGAACACGGGTGTCTTCCAGCAGGACCAGAGGGCCTCAGCCACTTGGCCGTGCAGCCGCTGAGCTGTGCTGGATTGTTCGCAGATCAATATTATGTGCCGCTGCTTCTCACTATAATGCGATTACAGTGTTAACATGTGGAGCCTTCATCAATATTTAATTATTAATATTATAGCTGGTATCCTGACAGCCAACATGGGCCCTGACTCCATTTGTCCACTCCTGAGTCCATTTGTCTTTTGAAAGTTGCTGTGAGTGTGTGTGTATGCGTTCTCGTGTTTGTTTATGTTTGCTGTCTTGTAACAACTTGTCTCTGTCTGTATGTGGCAGTGCAGCCTCCAGCAGGACCATCATCATTACAGAATCCTCACAAGCTGTTTGTCACTCACTTATATTGAATGAAATGTTTAGTAATATTATCTTTGTGTTAACATGGAATTTGTAATATAGAATCTCGGCGTTTATATCTCTGGAGGAAAACGCTGCGTCTTATTTATTGAATGGAGTGTTAATGTGAGGAGCTAAATGAGCAGCTCTGATCACTGCTATTGACTGGTGTTTGATTAAAACACATTAAGGGCCTGTTGATTAGCGCCGGCAGACATGTTGGTTGACAGGATCTTCTCTCTGCTGTTGCATGTGTCTCTTTCTCTCCATCTCATTACTCCATTCTATCCATCTCTATCTGATATCCTTATACACTGAAGGTCTCACCCTCCTCTTTTTTTGTCCAACTTTTTCCCCACCCCTGTCATCAGGCTAAGCAGCGCCATGACATCACTCTCCAGTGGGATCACCCAGTGCTGGACCTGTTAGCGGGCGGGTATAACATGCATTATGGAGCACGCTCCATCAAACACGAGGTATGCAGACACTGTAGCTGTAAATGTCATGTTTGTGGTCATTCTAACTTCCAGATCATATAATATAGTGAAACTTGCCTTGTTTGACCGTTAGGGATGTAACGATATTTGTAACTTCACGATTTCTTGATAAGGTTGTGGGACTTTTACAGCGTCCAACCTGATGTTACATATGGTTGTTTCGCTAGTAGAACTGAGTTAGATTGGAGATCAGTTAGCACGGATTTGCCTAGGGCATAGTAAAACACTGTTCTACTGTGAGCATGACCAGTTTTGTTCACAAGATCCAGCTACTGCAATAATAGGTTTTATTTTATATCATGAAAAGACTGCTACTGACAGCTTTTATATACAGTATACAAAACACTGCTGCTTTATTGTTTAGTAAAGGGCTTTTTTCATATATTTTCATTTTTAATATTCTGACACATATCGTATTGTAGGCTTTTTATCGTGGCAATATGACACTGTGAGTTTCGGGTATCGTTACATCCCTACCGACTGTGTAACTACTTTTTGTGGTACTGTTACTGCATCACTAGCATCACTAGATCTCAGCAGTGATTGTGGTGAGTAAAATGTTACATGACTCATAGAAGCTATTAAAGACTCGTTATTATGACATTTGTTAAATGTCAGAAAGTCATGAGCCTGCCAAGGATCAACAGTCTGATTGTTGTTGATGTGTCAGTTATCAAATGTTTTGTCAGTTATAGATAAATAGATACTTCGTCTGATGCATAATTGATCATGGAACAGCCTCTAATCAGCAGAACAGTGCATAGAAAATTCCAGTACCAACAGCTATAGAAGGCAGACGATGGGTTCAACAGCTCAAACATCTAACCAGTCCAATATGCTGATAAAGTTACAAAATTGCACTCACACTAACCTGGTCATTGATCCTTTAGGTTGAGCGTCGGGTCGTCAACCAGTTAGCCGCAGCGTACGAGCAGGAGCTGCTGCTCAAAGGCTGCACCCTGCGTCTCTCTGTAGGCCAGGAGGAGCAGAGCGCGCCCAGTCTGCGCCTCGAGGTAGTGGGAGAGGACAGTTCGTCGAGAACGTTGGAGATCCGTTCACCACTCGACCCTGAAGACTAACAAACAAACAACCCAAAAAGAGGAGTACAGAGGATCTATACAGATATGTATGTACCCAGTGTCATCATCATCATCCTCCATAGTACCCAGTGTCATCATCATCATCCTCCTCCTCCATATCAGGAGAATGGATGGTTCTTCACAGTTATTCCCAATAAAAGTACCTCTGATCAACACACTGTCATTGCCCCTGTTTCAGTGCACACACACTCAGTAATTCATGCCAACTTCAACACCATATGCAGTATAGCATCAGGCAGCAGTGCACTGGAAACAGCAAATGAAGTCATCCTACCAGAGCTGTGCACGGTCTCATAAGTTACAAAGATTAAGCGCAGGGTACATTAACTGTGTTGCAGGTGTGGTGGTAGAAGCAGCAGTGTGCAGCTACATCGTATTAGCTGAAAGAAAAGCTTTGCTGCATTATGTTCATAGTAGCCAACTGTTTGTCCACGTAGCTGTTGCACACTGTTCATGTTAAAGTGCAGAACACTGAAAACAGCCAAACTAGTTTTTATTAATATGTGAGTTAGTGACATATGTCACATTGAAAGGATGAATAGCAGCTTGGGGATTGTTAATGCACAGGGATGAAGCATGGTAAAAGAGGTAAAATAAAAACTGAGGATTGATCCTAAATGTGTAACAAGCAGTACAACTTTTTAACACTGAAATACTACATTTCAGTTCTGCCAGTAGCATTAAAAACAAACGGCCACTCTGAGTGTCTCCATTTGCTGTGAAGGACCAAAGAGAGCCTGACGTCTCCTCCATGTCGCCTGTCACTTCACTTTAACATGTTTCGCTCATGGAGAAATGTATATAAACACAACCTGCTTATCCACTCTGTTTTAGTAAAGAGTGTGTTCACTGAAAATGAGTAGAATCAATTTGAATTATGGGTAAAACAACTGGCTTGTGAATTGTTTCTGTTGTCGTATGCTCATGTAAAGAAGTCTCATCGGTCACGACAGTACGGTGTGCGTCTGTCTGCTACTGAGAGAAATTTAGTCATAAAGAAATAATATTCAGTGTTGTATGATAAATGTTCTAACAGTGTGCTGACAAGGTGCCGAGTCTAGTCGAGCAGCATTTTTCATTCCTGTATCCCTGCCCCCGCCGTGTAAATAAAGTCATCACAACTAAAAGGGAATTCCTCTGTTTTTTGTTCTGTTTGTGGTGCACTGACACTGCTGATGGATGGACAGATTTGTGTGTGTGAGACCAGTGCCTGGGTGGGAATTCTGCAACAATAACGCTTGTCTACCTTGTGAAACAACAGGACAGAGGAATTTCCTTGGAATTCTGCTCTGTGTGGGGGTCTGTGTTGGATGCTGGGAGGGAACGCAGCGCGGTAAATGCCACAGAAATGTAGCAAGCATTTCTCTCTCTCTCTCTCACACACACACACACACACACACACCCTACAGGAATGTCCCCTATAGGGAAGAATTAGCACGCTGGAATAAAGAACACATTTACTCTTACTGTGCTCCACCTGGACCCCAACAACACTAACACAGCTCAGTTTCTTCACAGTTGTCTCATGGGAGGAGGAGGAAGTGTCTCTGTAGTGTCTAGAAATCATCCCCTGTTGCTCTGTTTTGTAAAACACTGCAATTATCTTCTATATGGCTGAAACAATTAGTCAATTAGATGAGTAAAGAAAATCAAAGCCCAGATTTTCTTCTAACTAGACTTTTCTAAAATGTTATGCAAAATATTAGACATCTGCCAAAACAGTTTCACATATCAATTATATCAGAACTTTAAATCTCCATTATTTGTATAGTTTTAATAATGGAAATCAACAAGGGTTTCTCCATTCAACTCATCAGTCTAGGCTTATTTAATGTTTAGTAGATCTTCAAAAGGTTGCCTGATCATTAGTTGTTCTTTCTGGGACCTAAAAAGCCATTTTCCTCTCAAATACATATGAATGTAAAAGTGTTCTGTGGTTGTATTACTTGTATCACTGTAAATAATGGTCATGTACTTGATGTGAAGCCGAGAGTGGGGTAAGCTTGTCATGCCTACAGCGAAAGGAGCAACAGACCGGCGGACGTTTTAAAAGCAGGAATCTTGAAGTGGCTGCATCTGAACAGTAGATCAGGTTTTGCTATGATACCTCAAGGCTTTCCCCCATCTCTTATATAGCTTAAACATATCTACATTTTATGGTTTTAGGAAGTCGAGCTGGTGCGAGTGTGTGCGTGTGTGTATCCATTTACCCTTCCCGAGGAGGAAAACAAGAATAAGAGGAGAAGGAGAAGAGGCTCTTAGTCTGTCCATCAGGCTATTTCTGAATGCTGCCATTTCTCTGATTAGATTATGGAGAAACAGAAACCTGGCCCTCCATCGTCCTAACCTCCCTCTATCTTACTGCATTTTGCTCGCTCCCCCATCTGTACATCCACCCTCTCCCTCTTCCCCCCAGTCCTCTACCTTTTCTCTCCGTCTATCCTTCTTCCTCTGCTGTCCATCCATCTCTGTCCTGATGTCTCCCTCCCAACCTTCTGCTGGTTTTACAAATGGAGGAGAGTTCAAGGTGCAAGTGAGAAGCAAAACAGACAAGAGAACACGAGGGTGAAAGGTCAAACAAGAGAGAAACGGGATACACACATATACGTTTGATTAGTACAAAAAGACAGTATTAGAGACTACTATACTTTTTGACATTCTTTCCTTTGCAGGCGAGCGGATCTGCTCCATGGGCTCCAGCTGGCGCAGTGGTGCATACAGATAAATTAGATCAAGACATTTTGATTAAGAAGGGTGATGCTACTTGGCCCCGAGATTTTCTGAGTTGGTTAGCTTATGGTAATTTGATTAAAACATTTTTTTTCTTTTTGTACCATATTAGCACATTGCCAACTAAAAAAAATTAAAGCCTGACTCTGTGACACAGGGCCACAAGACGAAGTGCACAACCAGCCTTAGCTGATGTTGCACTTTAGTTGTGCAAATGTCTCTAAACAAACTAAGTAACCAAATTAGAGAAACCACGTGGGGGATTAAAGTGTGGATGTGTCCACGGTCTGAGGACAAATGGAAACCTTTAATGCATGTCATTCCCTAGCTTATGTTGTGCCATTTATCTCCTCTGTTAGCTACACTATTAGCTGTCCGATAAAGCCTTAAAATGCACAGAAATGATTTACAAATGGCCAAGTCCATCTGACATGCAGCACCTTCTGGGGCTGGGTCCGAGTTGGTCAGAAGTCTGGATGACTTTGCAGAGTAAAACAGCTGTTTCTACATCAATCCAGGTAGCAGCAGCAGCCAGGTGAAGGTGGTGAATGATGGAGGACTACTAGAGGTTCTCCCATTATCATATCTGTCCCCACTCTTAACAGGGGATTTTCATCCATGTCCCTCTGCGCTCCTCTCACCTCTCTGCATCCTTCCCTCTCTCTTCCTCTCATTGTACTCCCCCCAGGAAAGCGATCGATTTCACCTCCATTACCTCAGTCCACTCAGCTCTCGGTTTAAAGATGCTCCTCATTCATGCAGCTGCAAAGCAGCACAGCTATCACAGACTGCACTAGAATTTTATTATCAATGTTTGTTAAAAAGAGACTCGGCTCTTTGTGTTTGCGCATGGAGTTAAGTGGGGGTGGCTTTGCTGTGGTTCGGGGATGTTCTGGTGGGCGAGGGTGCACACGCACACCGGATACCGTACGGTTATAGCAAGGCAATCACGTGACAGTCCCCTGGGAAAATTAGCATAAAAGACAAATAAAGGATCCCACCGAAAACACACCGGTCTGTCCTCCTTTCTTTTGCAGAAGAGCAACAAATCCATTTCGCCTAATTCGAACCTTGCTCAGGGACAGCTCGCGTGGCAGATTGCAGCCTAATTAGTTTAGAGCGAATTTAATTCAATTAACTTTCCACAGCTCCGCGCGCCCCGCCGCTGGGCTGCTTTCAGAGCGCGGGGCCAGAGCTCGAGATCTAATTAGCGTGTTTGGAGAAGCTCTCCTGCGCGCGGCCATCCCTCGCTGCTCCAGCTGTGCTGTGCGTGTGTATGTGTGTGTTGTGGTCTCCCGGGACCTGGTTTTTATCCTAAAAAGCTTCTTTTTAAAGTAACATGCCGTTATCTATTAGGGTAATACAGGTCTGGTGCCGCAGCGGAGTGATGTATGCAGCATGTGAATAACCGCAGCTGCTGTGCGTCATTTTCTGGCTGATGAATGCTCGTTGAATTGACATTAGAGTGGACTTAAATTAGGATGAGTGCCATTTAATGAGTGAAAATTAATGGTTCTACATTTGAGGCACTTTTGACAAAACGTCAGCCTGATGAGCCTCCGTGTCTCACTGGACAGTGTGGGATTATTCGGTTTGGTTAAATTTGTGATACAATCTCAGTAGAATTTGTGGATTTGTTGACAACACCTTCACTAATGAAACTCGTTAAACTGCATTCAAGCGAATATAATGTTCCGTGGTTTGTAGGTCCCGGTGAGGACAGATTATTGTGGCCATATACTGAATTGCACGTGTCAGCATTTTACTTCTAAAGTTCAATCACACTGAGCCTCAAAAAGTGAAGCAATACAATGAGATATATAAGTTGAACAAGCATAATTATCTCAGACTTTCTCAGGAAATGTTCTGACATTTTAAGGATGTTTATACCTTCTCTTCAGTGTTATAAATATAGCCAAAATTACATCTCTGGAAAAAAAAGATGACTTTTACTGTCCAGGCTCGTGTAGAACTCCACCTGAGCCTGTGTATCAACGCTACCTGACTCCTACAGCGCGGGACTGTTCCTGTCTCCAGCTCCGTTAGATGCGCGCCGTCATCTCGAGCCAGAGAATCACGGTACATTCGGGTAAATGGGGATTGAAACGCGGGGACAGGCGCACAGACGAGACCCCCCCCCC